AAAAAAAAAAAAAAAAAAAAAATACAAATAATTAAAAGTGATATATTATGATTTATAATAATTTCCAGGAGGTTTATGATATTCTGACTGGTCGTGATATATATTAGGATTCGTATAAGATGGTTGATTGGAAGAAAGTGGATAACCATCTTGTGGATCTTGTGGATAATCATCTATCGGTGAATTGGTTGAATATGGATCATACGCATTTGGGTAGGAAGGTGATTGATGAGGTGATTGATGTGAATAAGCAAATTGATTTTGTATACCAGTTCCAGGGGTACGTCTAATAGGACTCGTATGTCCTTGATAGGGCGTTGGACCAATTTGTGATTGATATGAAAATTCTGAACCAGGTTGAGGCCCAAATGGATTTGATGGATTTGAATATTCTACACCATGTTGAGGTCCAGGCACGAATGGTGGTGGATTGGAATATTCTGCACCATGTTGAGATCCAGGCGAGTATGGTGATGGATTGGAATATTCTACACCTTGTTGAGGTCCATGCACGAATGATGGTGGATTGGAATATTCTACACCTTGTTGAGGTCCAGGTGAGTATGGTGATGGATTGGGATATTCTACACCAGGTTGTGGTCCAGGCGCGTATGGTGATGGATTGAAATAATCCACACCAGTTTTTGGTCCAGGTAAGATTGGTGTTGGATTGGAATAATTTACACCAGGGTTTGATGGTAAAGGACGATTTACAGGTGATGGAGATTGTCTAATTTCTTCTACTTCATATTCAGCATATTGCGGAATATTATTTTGATTTGGATTCTGTACCCTTTCGTTATTAGGTCTTTGATAAGCTGGTTCAATCGTTTCTCTATTATCATATATATCATCATCATCAGATTTTCTTCTTCTTCGTTTATTCATAACTTTACCTACTAAGAAACCTATCGTAGCCAAACCAGAACTTATCAGGCAAACAATCATCAGATAATACGCGTTATCCAATTTTGCTGTATAAACGTTCCCAACCATTTTATTTATTGGTTTCACAATTCCATTATTAAACAATATGAAATCTATTATAAATGCGAAAAGAACTAAAATAAAGGCAAGTGTTGAACTTTGTGCCGCTACTTTTATGAGTCCTTTATCTCGATTTTTGCGTCTATGTGCAAATACGCCAACACAAGATACAATTGATAATGTAATCAACGCTATAGAAATGAAAAAAAAAAAAAATTAAATGATCAATTAATTTCTTCCTTTTAAAGGGGGATAAATCAATCATTAAAAAGAATTACCAAGTATATGAACCACCACCAAATAGCTTAACGATGTGCTTACTGCTTCAGGTAAGTCTTGGGAAAGACCACCAGGAATCAAATTAGGATTCAGTGATTTTCTAGGATCTATTTAAATATGTATATCGTTTAGAAATCTTGAAAAAAATTTTATACCAACTTTCATATTACATTACTACATTATAATATGGGTTTCCGTTTGAAAATAGGATGCTTGAATATTCGTTTGTAATGTTTAATGAAAATCATTTTACTTTCAGTGATGATGTGAATGCTTTGAATCAGAATTCATTAAAAATATAATTAGTTTGTATTTATTTGATTTAAATTAATTTTGAAAAGCTAGAAAATCTTAATAACTTTCAGCTACCTAATTTCTATTTAAAAATAAATATTTGGTGTAAATAATCGAATGATTTTTCGATGGTTACGAATAATCGAAAATGATTTTTTTTTTTATATTCGAAACCATTTCGATATTCGTTTAATACTTTCAAAGATTTGAATTTCATCACACGGAAACCTTACATTATAATACGGTCGGTAACTTGAAAACAAAAAAAATAAATAAATAAAAAAAGAAAAAGGTACTTACCAAAAGCAAAACCTATCTTCGTCGGGGTGCATTTCTTTGGTGTACCATTAATATGTGCGCAAAAACCCCATAATCCAATTGTTAATTCTTCTTCAAACGTTAATCCCAACCGTGATACTTTTACAAAGTATAGTGTTTTGATGATTGGAGTTAAAAGATTTATTAAGAAAAGTAATAAAAAAGAGATAATAGTCAAGATCGTTCCCGGAGTTGCCTCTCGACCCGTATAAGACATCACTGTTAAATTTAATAGTGATATTATTAGGTCGATTAAGTCAGTTATTATCAATGACTAGGAAAAGGATCTCTGAGGACAAACCATGACACACCTTGTAAGATAAAAAAAGCAACAAAAATTTGTTATGATTATGATTATGCAGTATTTACCATATTTGGAAAAATTTTAATTTCAAACGTTAGCGTTAAAATTTATCGAGTTACAAAACTAGATTAGTTGAAATTTTAATTAATTACTGGAAAAAAAAAAAAAAATCTATATCATTCGAAATCGCTACTCATTTTTATTGACCAATTTATTTTTGTATCCCATTTTAAATCTACTGTATTACAATATATTAAATGAATTTTTTTTGTTAATATTAAAATTAATATAAATCATATATATACAAAATAATGTGTTGCAAGGCCAAAACGTCCATAATCATATCTCAGTAGTAATATAATTTGAACCTAAATTAGAAAGAAAGAAAGAAAAAAAAAAATTTAAAATGTCAATTATTTTCAATCACTAATGAGTAATAATATATAATGTTCTATCAGAATTATATAACACCGGATAGGCTTCTTTCACCATTGCTAATTGCTCAGCAGAGGGAGACCTTGAGTTCATCATTTAAAAGAATAAAAATAAAAGATCCAGTATACATACATACCATTATCCTTATGAATAAGATTTGGTGGAAGGATGACGAGGACCAGTATTGCGTCTATCCATACCTCTATTTCCACTTCCACGTTGTGAGTTTATACCGTTACCGTTATGAGGATTATGTGACGCATTATAATTATTACGTGGGTAATAATCACGACGACGTCCACCGCCTCCCTCCTCTCTTGGTGGTCTTCTTTCTTCAACAGTAACAGTCCCAAAATTTGGAACCTCAATAATTTTTTTACTGAGAGCTTGCTGGTAGGATTTTTGAGAGTCAAATTCCACAAATGCACATGACTGGAATATTTGATTAGTTAATTTTAATATCAATAAACGATAATAACTCGTAAAAATTTCTTTTTTTAAAAAAAAAAACATTCATAATTAC